AAACAAAAAGGATGCAATGCATATCCAGTCACTTTCGAGATATGGCAGTTTGAAGTTTAAAAGTGTTTCTTACCCTTGTTTTATTTTCAAAACTTATAATATCATGTAACTCCAGAGATACTTATATATTGTTTATATGTAGAATTTTTTTGCTGATCTAAGAGGTTACACTTTAGGAACCGTTTGATACTTAAAATTCATTTTTTATAATTATGTGAATTGGATCTTTTGCTTAACTACGTCCAATTATTAACATAACGCAATTTTGAGATAACATACAATATAACGCAATTTTTGAGATAATATTATGTTACTTTTATTATGAAAACTAACGCGGTTATCACACATTATAGTATAAAAGTAACGGGACTTACTCGCATAGTATTTTAGTCAGAAGCGGTCCGACTAGTTTCAACCATAATCGATGGTCTTCATGAGGGGATGAGTGCAACGTTCGCGACCGCGTCACGTCTAGCACTGCGCGCGCGCATCCTGGAACTCTTCTTCGCTACTGCTGTCCGTAGAATTGTTGTCGGGAACAGTCCAGCACACAGAGCTCACCACGTCGTTACTACTAACATCTGCAGCTGCATACCGAGCGCCATGAAGACGGCTTCCGGGTCGATGGCAAGCTCCAGCCTCCGTCTCTATTAAAATTTGATCGCCAACTTATTTCAATAGCCTCTCGGATTTTGCGGGGCACAAAATACTTCTCCAGCGCTAAAACCTTAGCTTTGTCAAAACGAATGTAGTGACTAGTACCGGAGCTCAGAAAGTGGTCTGCCACCGCAGATCCATTGGCATCTTGGTTCTCGTTTCGCCGATAACACTTGCCGCAGTCACAAGGAACCACATAGACACCGGGGACCCCCAGAGGGTCTCTGTCCTTTGGAGAGCGAAGCAATTGTCGCAGCTGTGTGAGAGGACGGAATATTGTCTTGATGTTGTACCTCCGGCGTAACAAGTTTCCAATCACATCCGTCACCCCCCTGACATAAGGTAAGTGTGCTACCGTTGTCTCTACCGATGCTGGTCGAGGCCTTGTTGATGCATTTGCCACACGCCAACTCTTTTTCCACTTGTAACCGTTACCACCCCACACGTCCTTCACATGATTTAGCTCAGCATCTATGTAATTTGGGTCGCATAATTTCAAAGCTCTATTAATGAGCGTCCGGGGAACTTTCCTTTTCCCCCTGCAGCTGCGTCGGCGCGCGTGCAGAGAGCTGTAGCACGCAGTGCTAGACGTGACGCGGTCGCGAACGTTGCACTCAACCCCTGATGAAGACCATCGATTATGGTTGAAACTAGTCGGACCGCTTCCGACTAAAATACTACGCGAGTAAGTCCCGTTACTTTAATACTATAACTATGTTACTTGTCAAGTGCGATATTACCTATACATTTTATTTTATTCCGCAGATAAATTCGTACTCCTCTAAAACCAGCCAAGTCAATATAAATAGGGTTGGGCCCGCGTAACGAAAGGCCTAAATATTTATTCATTAGTAGTAAAACTACTACTAACGAATAAATATGTGTAATTTTATGCCCCAACATCTTGCCCCCCAAGCCAAGCTAACCTGCACGTGGTGCACCCTGCTAGCTAACAAACTAGGCTCTGGCGACTCACCAAGACGCACTGGTCAGCGTGGTGTTTTATGGCTAAAAACCCTCTTTAATTATGATAGGCGCCAATATTGTATGGCCCTCAGTCCCCGGCAGCGTCGCTATTCCGAGCTCTGGCAGCGGCTCCGATTCCGGCGGAGCAGAGGGTGCGAAGAATCCCCGGAAGATTCCCAGCTGCCAAACTACCTTGACCCCGGCTACGTTTAATGGAAAAAGTCTGAGCACTGACGATTGGTTTTGTGAGATGTTGGAGGAGTTAAGTCAAATTAAATGGGACGTTGTAGGTCTGTTGGAGGTCAGACGTAAGGGAGAAGATCTTAAAAGATTGGCTTGTGGTCACTTATTTTACCACAAAGGGCATGACGACTCAACCTACGGAGGCGTCGGGTTTCTAGTCAATAAAAAGCTAACCTCTTCCATCCAGAGCGTTCAAAGCATTTCCCCACGCGTTTATTCCAAACGCTGAAACTCGATGAACGGTAGGTATGCTATGAAACTAATCAAAGTTTACGCCCCAACCTCACAGCGACCCGTTGAGCCCGTCTCAAAAAAACCCATGTTTTTACACCACTTTAATGGGAGATTTCAACGCTAAGATTGATCAAACACAAGCCACGGAAAAATCAGTAGGACAATATGATCTAGGATGTCGTAACACACGGGGTCAAATGCTGGTAGACTTTCTAGAACAACATAACTTGTACGCCATGAACACCTTTAAAAAACGTCCTTCTAGGAAGTGGACCTGGTATAGTCCCGATGGTTAGATTCGAAACGAAATAGACTATATCATTACTGTTCAGAAGAACAACATCACCGATGTGAGTGTCTTAAGTCGTTTCAAAACCAGCAGCGACGACCGTCTAGTGAGAGCTTCTTTTAAGTATAATCTACACAAAGTGAGGTCAAATATGGTTACAAAACAACACCGAAAATATGAAAGTACGGCTTACTTTTTTCTACAGAAAGAGTATCGCTTAGACCTTAAAGACCAATTTGACGTTTTTGTTTCTGTCAGAAGAAAACTTGGATGTGGACTCGCTAAACGAGAAACTCTGCAATA